TTCTATTGGGAATAGCCGCAATCCGCATCGAAATCGGAATAGTAGTTCGGATTTGAGCATCTTGCGATGAGGTCTTTTATGTTCTCATCAGTCAAATATCAGTGGATTCGATTGCTCGTAGCGCCTTTGTTTACCGGTGAAATCGCGTGCAAATTGGTAGACACATCTGAAATCATATTCTATTGGGATTAGCCGCAATCCGCATCGAAATCGGAATAGTAGTTCGGATTTTAGCATCTTGCGGTGAGGCCCTTTACGTTCCCTTATTGCAAATATCAGTGGATTCGATTGCTTATAGCGCCTTTATTTACCGGAGAAATCGCGTGCAAATTGGTAGACACATCTGAAATCATATATTCTATTGGGATTAGCCGCAATCCGCATCGAAATCGGAATAGTAGTTCGGATTTTAGCATCTTGCGATGAGGCCTTTTATGTTCTCTTATGGCAAATATCATTGGATTCGATTGCTTGTAGCGCCTTTTCTTTACCGGTGAAATCGCGTGCAAATTGTTAGACACATCTGAAATCATATATTCTATTGGGATTAGCGGCAATCCATAGGTACATCTGAAATCATATATTCTATTGGGATTAGCCGCAATCCGCATCGAAATCGAAATAGTAGTTCGGATTTTAGCATCTTGCGATGAGGCCCTTTATATACACTTATGGCAAAATTCAATGGATTCAATTGCTTTTAGCGCCTTTATTTACCGGTGAAATCGCGGGCAAATTGGTAGACACATCTGAAATCATATATTCTATTGGGATTAGCCGCAATCCGCATCGAAATCGGAATAGTAGTTCGGATTTTAGCATCTTGCGATGAGGCCCTTTATATACACTTATGGCAAAATTCAATGGAGCTTGTAGCGCCTTTATTTACCAGTGAAATTGCGAGCAAATTGGTAGGCACATCTAAAATTATATCTTCTGATGGGATTAGCCGCAATCCGCATCGAAATCGGAATAGTAGTTCGGATTTTAGCATCTTGCGATGAGGCCCTTCATGTTCACTTATGGCAAAATTCAATGGATTCGATTGCTTGTAGCGCCTTTATTTACCGGTGAAATCGCGTGCAAATTGGTAGGCACATCTAAAATCATATATTCTATTGGGATTATCCGCAATCCGCATCGAAATCGGAATAGTAGGGCGGATTTTAACTTCTTGCATTGATGCCGTTTATGTTCTCTCCTGGCAAAAATCAATGGATTCGCTTGTACTTAGCGCCTTTATTTACCATTGAAATCGCGTGCAAATTGATAGACACAACTGAAATCATATATTCTATTGGGATTCGCCGCAATTCGCATCGAAATCGGAATAGTAGTTCGGATTTTAGCATCTTGCTTTGAGGCCCTTTATGTTTACTTATGGCAAATATCAATGGATTCGATTGCTTGTAGCGCCTTTATTTACCGGTGAAATCGCGTGCAAATTGGTAGACACATCTGAAATCATATATTCTATTGGGATTAGCCGCAATCCGCATCGAAATCGGAATAGTAGTTCGGATTTTAGCATCTTGCGATGAGGCCCTTTATGTTCTCAGCAGGCAAATATCAATGGATTCGATTGCTTGTAGCGCCTTTATTTACCAGTGAAATCGCGTGCAAATTGGTAGGCACATCTAAAATCATAGATTCTATTGGGATTAGCCGCCATCCGCATCGAAATCGGAATAGTAGTTCGGATTTTAGCATCTTGCGATGAGGCCCTTCATGTACACTGCAGGCAAATATCAATGGATTCGATTGCTTGTAGCGCCTTTATTTACCAGTGAAATCGCGTGCAAATTGGTAAACACATCTGAAATCATATACTCTACTGGGATTAGCTGCAATCCGCATCGAAATCGGAATAGTAGTTCGGATTTTAGCATCTTGCGATGAGGACCTTTACGTTCACTGCAGGCAAATTTCAATGGATTCGATTGTTTGTAGCGCCTTTATTTACCAGTGAAATCGCGTGCAAATTGGGAGGCACATCTGAAATCATATACTCTATTGGGATTAGCTGCAATCCGCATCGAAATCGGAATAGTAGTTCGGATTTTAGCATCTTGCGATGAGGCCAATTTATGTTCACTGCAGGCAAATTTCAATGGATTCGATTGCTTGTTGCGCCTTTATCTACCAGTGAAATCGCGTGCAAATTGGTAC